AATAAGAAAACAGTTAAAGAAAGAGATGTTATTCAATGTTATGATTAAAATAATAGTAGTTGTCTGTTAGTGATGGATGAATGAAATTTATTTGAACCGAGTTGTATTTGCAATTTGGTAATTGTCTGAGGTAAGTATAATATTTAAGAAATTCATTGTTATGATTTAGATTTAATTTGTTGAGAAGTTTCTTGAAAGGTCCTTTAACTGGTAAGTCTCTTTGGTCATAATCCAATGTGAGTAAATGTTTCATTCTAACGATTGTTTTCAGATAAATTCCTCTACAGTTTTTGATGATGAGGTTTTTTAGATACACACTTTCTAATAAAGATTTTACATTTTTTGTTTCTTCAATATATTCAAGACGAAGAGAATTAAGTTGTTTCATTTCATTTAATAGAAGAAGGTCTAATGATTTCATTCTTTTAATCCAAAGAGAAGTTAACGTTTGAAGAGGATAGAAATTGATTTTATTGAAACAAATAGTACAATCAATAAATTTAATAGTTTTAGTTTCAATAGAATTTAAAAGAGAATTAATACTAAGTTCATTACACCTACTTATTTCTAAACGATCCATAAAGATATGTTTATTTTTGACATTCACATTCAATGAATTTAATAAAGAAAAAGTAGATTTGTTTTTAAGACAGAAGGTCATTTCAGAATAATCAAACCATGGAGTGTAATTGAATGGAATAACAACATGTTTTAACATAAAGATAATTTTAATTTGTTTAGAATAATTAACTAATTGATTGAGATCAAACATAGAATAACTTCTTTTAAATAAGTCGTCTTTTATTATTAATCTTTTCAAAGATTTTAATTTCTTTAAAGAATTGAAAGAATAAGTTCTTTCAAGTAATTGAGATGGATCTAAATGAAGAGTGAGAGTTTTTAATTCATGACAATGTTGAATGTTTATATCATCTTTACATTCAAGTTCTTTGAGAGAAGTCATTAACACTAAAGCATTTCCACCTTTTGATTTAGTTTTAAAAACTTTTAAATGAGGAATAAATGGAATATTTGAACAATCCATTTCATACATAAATGATATTATCTTCAAATATGTGAGATTAACAAAAGCTTTTAACTGACCTAACCAAATAGGTCCAAGAGAGTCTATAAAATATACTTCTAAATGAATGATATTTTCTGGACAAACAATACATTGAAGTTCATTAATCCCATAAAGAGAAAGTGCATAAAAATGGAAATTAGAGATATGACAATTTGGAAGAGAAATAAGTGGTTCTCTATTTTTAACTAAAGTCAAACAATCAAGATATTTAAATTCTAATGTTTGTTTATTCCATTGGTTTCCAGTGAGACTATAATATCTATTCATTAAAGAAATTATCTTAAACCATTTAGAATTAATTAATTTTCCTTTTTTTATTTCTTCAATTGGAAGATATGAAAGAATTGTGGTGATATATTTTCTTTTCATTGTTTTAACTAAGAGTTATGATTATGAATTTATCATCTTATCATTTTGTTTTGTAAAAATCTAATCAAAATCTTTTTATGATTCAATTAGTAATATGGATAACTTGTTGTTGTATTAACTCCATATAATGGATGTCCAGGTGGATAAATATTTCCTCCCATTGGGTCAGCTGCTCCAAATCCCATATATCCATTGTTTCCTATTCCCATAGGTGCTTGTGGTGGAACAGGTCCTCCAAATTCTACATAACAAACATTTCCTTGTCCAATTGGTGCTTGTGGTGGATTTTCGTGTATTGGTGGATATTGATTTTCTTGTGGATAGCCTTGAATTGGCGGTTGTTGTGGAAATCCTTGCATAGGTGGTTGTTGTGGATATTCTTGCATTGGTTGTTGTTGTGGAAATCCTTGCATTGGTGGACATTGACTTTCTTGTTTGATTCTTTCTTGTTCTTCCATCATTCTTCGTTTTTGTTCCTCCATCATTTTTTGGTTGTGTTCTAATTCTTGTTGCATTCTTAATTTCTCTTGTTCTTGTTGTTCTTTCATTTGTTGTTGTTCTTTCATCATTTGTTGTTTTTGTTCTTCCAATTCTTTTAGTTGTGCTTGTCTTAATTTTTCTTGTTCTAATCTCATATTTTCTTGCTCTTGTCTCATTCTTTCTAATTCCTTTTGATGTTCAATTTTCTGTTGTTCCATCTGCTCTTGGAGATTACAATTCATAGCTCTTTTCTCTTCTTCAAATGCTTGTTCTTGTTGTTTAAGAAGTTTCTCTTTTTCTTCTATTTCTTGTTGTTGTCTTTTCATAACTTCTTCTGTCTCTCGTTCTCTTGAAACATAACTCATGTTTTGCTTATCCATCATTTCTTTTGTTTTAAAGACTTGTGAAAATAATGAGATATATAACATCATTGCTCGTTCATCTGTTTGACATTTTACTATTTCATCTACACTAAATAATTCTTCAATTCCCATATTTTCATGTGCCATTTCAATACCTTTTTTAACTCTTTCTTCATTACTACAATTTTGATAACTTTGATAAATTTGATTTCCCATAAAACTATCAACAAGAGCAAGTATGATTCTTCCATCTCCAAATGATGTTGATGGATTATCAACATGAAGTCCATACCCTTGAACTTTTTCATTAACCCAATTCCAAATCATATTATCTATTTTATTTCCTGTTTTGAATGTATTACTTTCATCTGAAACACTTCTACAAATACAATACTTTCTATATAATGAAAACATCATTCCAAGAATAAATTTATATCCACTTTCACTATCTGCCATATTTTCTGCTGAACATCCTGCAACATCAATATTATTTTCTTTTAAAAAGCCTAAAATTTCTGAATAGTTATTAATATCATAGATTCTTCCATTCCCATTATTTAATTTCTTCCCAATACTTTTTCCAACTAATATCTCTGCAAATTCCTTAAAACAAGTAGGTGTTAATCCTGTTTTAATATTATTTACTACTCCTATTCCCTTTTGACTTACTAATGAATTAATCCAATTTCTAAATACCTGTTCTTGAACTCTTTCCCATTGTTGTTCATTTTGGTTAGACATGATAAGTATTAACTGTGATTTATGAGTTTGTACTTTTCATTTAATTTTAAGATAAAGATTATTTTGTTAAAATAAATACAATAACATTTTTATTAGGAAAAAAACTATCTCTGTCAATGAGGAAATAGATTTTCCAAGGAGATAAAAAGAATATTTTTTCATTTTCTAAAATATAAAAACAAAAAATAAGAAAAAGAATTGGAAAACACAAAATGAGTGATTCTGCATGGGGAGTATTAGAATGTACTACTCCAAAATATCCATCCATTCCACTTTATGACACAACTAGTTTGTTTGGAAGAAATAATACGTCAATGAAAATACGAAATCTTACAATCTCATCAAGACATTTCATTATACAAGTTAAACAAGAAGGAAATGAAAAGAAATACATTTGTATTGATACATCAACAAATGGGACATATATAAACAATGAAATTATGGGAAAAAGAATGGCAACAAAAGAAATTAAATTATATGATGAAATCTCAATGCTTGACCCACAAAAAGATGAAGGAAGTATATCATATATATTTATTCCATTTGAAGAACAAAAAAAAGAGAAAATAGAAGGAGGACCACAAAATAAATATGATATTGGAAGATATTTAGGAAGTGGGAATTTTGCAAGGGTAAGAGAAGTAATAGAAAAAGACAATAAACAAAAATATGCAATAAAAATTATTGACCGTCAAAAAATGAAAGAAATAGGAGAAAATGAGAAAGTAGTATTAAATGAATATTCTATAATGAAAAAACTTCATCATATTAATATTATTCAATTACATGATGTATTTCTTACACAAGAATATTTTTATTTAGTATTTGAATTGTTTGTTATTATT